GGCGGGGCGGGGGTCTGCCGGAGGCGCGGTAGGCACCCGGGGGGTTGTTTTCAGAGAGAGACCCTGGAGCCGATCCGGCTGGCCGTGGGGATAGGCTGGCATTCGGGACCCAAAAGTGAAAAGGGCCGGAGAGGTTAGGAGGCGGTGGCAGGAACCCCGCCCACTTTCCGGGCAGGGTTCTTGGAACCAGCCAGGAAATCCTGGGACTTAATCTAAGGGCTAGATCTGAAGGCAATGGTTTTTATAGAGACGCTGATAAGGGCCCCCAGTGTGTCTTTGCGCTCATTTTCCCCACATTCCAGGAACTGCTCAGGCTTGTCCCCCAAGTGTTGGGGAACTCAACGACTCCCTCCCTCCCCACGCTGCAGGGCGGGCTCCACCCTGAGAACACTGCAAGGCCCTGTTGTCCTTCCAGAGCCCTCCCTCTTCAGTTTCAAGATTGGGGGGAAGGGAAGTCTCCGGGGCCACAAGCCACATCGAGAAAAATCTCCAGGTTCCAGGACTTTCTCTTTCCCCTGCTCTCTTCGTGGCTCCAGCAAATCTAACTCTCCTTAGCGGAGGTATTAGGTTCCCACAGGAAGGAAGCAGGGAGCAACCTCAACTAGCTCCCTTCTGTTGCAGTCTTTGCAAAAGAGGACATGTGCGGGGTGGGGGGTGTCTTTTGACGGCTGAAGACGGAGAGCAGCTAACCCCTCCCAACCGAGTAGCTGGCTGGAACTCAAACTGCACAGCGATAGGACTGAAGTGAGGACAGTCGAAGTCTTTCGCTTTCTGCCATGCTCTGTTCTGCTGTCGGGCCTGGAAACACACCGGGAACCCTACCTACCTGTTTTCCCCCTTAAAATTTCTCCTCTTATGTAAAAGTAATTCATGTGTCGTATTTAAAAAATTAAACCTTACAAAAATATAGATTTAAAAAATGAAAAACCTTCATCTGTGGTGTTGAATATTCTTCCATTACGTCTGTTTGTTTACATACTTAACATAAATAAATATACATAAAGATATAAATAAATATAAAATATATATAGAGAGAGGTCACACCATTTCGTTTTGCAACTTGCTCTACTGTGGACATTACTTAGAGAAATACCCCATTTTTAACATTCTTAATCCAGAATATGGGTACCCCGTAATTCATTTAGTCGTCTACTGATAAACATTTAGTTTATGACCATGTTTATAATAATCTTTATGGTGTTTTACTTTAATTACAAATGTGCTTACCATAAACATTTGTTAATAAAATATTGATAAAGGCAAAAATATTGATAAGGAAAAAATAAAATTCACCATATTCCTACCAGCTAGAGATAACTATTTTGTAAGCTACAGTTTATGCAACACTTACTGGATGCCAAATACTATGCTAAGTAATTTGCATAACAACAATCTGAGGTTTGGAGAAATATCTACAAGACTCGGCTAAGGTCACACAACTAGAATGTGGCAGAGCCAGGACCTGGCCCGACTTTACCTGATTTGAACGCTCTGCTGGCCTTTTACTGATAACAGGGCGTATTTCCTTACAATCTTTTTAACTATGCAACAGGACAAAAATATTTGCATCTAAATATTCATAGCTTTTCCTCCTTCCCACGCTTAGTTCTAAGGACTCTTTGTAAGGAGGGCAGAGGGAGAGGAATAGACTTAAGCAAAAAAGTGATGTGACCTGGAGGAATTTTCTCTCAGTCCCACTCAGGAAAAGCTGCTACTGAGAGAACAGAGGGGAGTGAGCCGGCAAAGTTTGGGTTGTTAGGAATTCGGGGGGGAAAAAAGGGGAAAGAAAGGAGAGTTTTGGGAGGCTACTCTGGTAGCGTGGAGCTTTGGGGAAGAGAGATTTAGGAGGATTTCGATAGGACATCTTGCTCTGAGGTGTGCTTTGTGATCCCTTTGCAGTGTCCTCCAGAGTACGCTGGTAAAGACTTTTGTTTCCTGTCAGTACTTTTTGGAGTTAGATCGATTTCTTTTGGGCAAGGAGGGAGCAAAAAAGACCAGCTTTATTTGGGTTCACATACATTTTGTATGTTGTTTCTTTTATGAAAATGAAATAGCTTCTGCCCTTGCTTACTCAGAATCCTCCACCTAAAATGCCCTGCCTTTCCCTTTATTTTCCCCATCCTCTAAGCTCCACCTCTCTCTACCTATTTCCTCTCCTTCTGTTGGCCCCAGCTCTTTGCAAGTTCCTCATTATAGCCCAAATCAGGACAGGTGACTGACCCCCTTGCTGGTAAACCTGGTAGGCAGTATTAAGTGGGAATTTTGTTATCAATGAAATCTCTTTGATTGCAAGAAACTATGCTGGTTTGTTGGTTTTCTAAGTCTCTTAGTGTCAAGCAGAGTACTGTGCACCAGTTACCAATCCCAGGAGAGGTCTCTAAACCCTTCTAACCCATTGCATCTCGGTGTCTGCATTACCAGGGAAAACACAGTCAAAGCACTGGACGGAATAATGCTTTATATATAGAGAAGAGACAGAGCAAGATCGGTTTCAGTCTTGGGCATTGGTCCCTCATGGCCAGCAAATCTCTCTCAGTGGCCGACACAGGGCGCAATTCACCTTTGCTCACCCTTCTGCCGCAGTGGAAGGACCTTGTCCCCTCCCAGCGAACAGATGGAATTGGCTAGATGCCATATGACTGACGCACATGCTTAAACAGAGACAAGAGGAATACTCATTGCATCTGAAACCAGGAAAGATATTCCCACACATGGTGATAAACCTAGCACAGACTATGTGTGCTCTTTGTCTATTGGTTAGGAAGTGTTCCAGACCCAGGGCCCATTCATATGTGGCTGTGTGAGGGTCAAAAGACTACAGGCTGCCCTTCTCAACACTTGGCTAGCGTAACTCTTGTTTCCCTCTTTGCTTTGGCTACTAAGAAGCTTGGAACTTCTCTATTTCTTGATCTGTATTTTCTCTTTGTCCCAATTTTCTCATTTACTTTTAGCCTTAAAACACTTCTTATGGAAAATTTTAAACGTACATAAAAGTAGAAAGAATGTAATACATTGACATTACCTATCACCCTTCTTCAATAATTATCAACATTTTGCCAATCTTGTTTCATCTACCTCTCCCACTTTTTCCTCCCCGTGAAGTATCATAAAAGTAATCCCAGACTTCATATCATTTCACGCAAATTATTTCAGCATTTATCTTTAACAGAGCTTTTTCAGATAAAACTACCATTTAACACCTAGTTCATGTTCAGATTTCTTTAGTAATTGGTTTGTTCCAGTCAGAATTCAATAAGGTTCATTTCATTTGGTTGATATGTCTCAAGTAACTTTTAATCTAACAGTTCCACTTTTCTTTTTCATGCTATCTATTTGTAAGAGAAACCAGAGCATTTGTCCTGTAAAGGTTCTCACATCCCGGAAGATTTGACTAGTTGCTTCCTGACAGTGTAGTTTAACTTGTTCTTCTGTCCCTTGTATTTCCAGTAAATCGAAAGTTAGATCTGGAGGCTCGATTAGATTCAGGCTTAATGTTTTTGGCAAGTATACTTTATTGGAAATAGCGCTATGTACTTAATATTGTGTTATATCTGGAGGCACATAATATTTAGTTGAAACGTTTTTACTGATTCATGCATGGGTTCAGGGTTCTTGGCCCACTCTGTTCATTATAAAATTCCCCATCATTGGTTTTTAGCACTCGTTAATGATCTATTATTTCATTAGATGTTACAAAGTAGTAATTTTCTAATTCTGTCATTCTTTTTGTGTTCATTAGTTGGAGTCTATAAAAAAGAACTTTTCATCATTCATTAGTTTTCTAAAACACAATTTACACAAGAAAGAAAGAATAAATACTCAATCCCTCTTAGTATTTTTATAACTTGAACTCCTTTGTGAAGGAGTTAAAAAAAAAAGGCAGGCAGAGCAGTGGAATGGAAAGAGCACACACAGGTCTTGGACTAAAACAGAATCCTGACTTCATCACCTGTTACCTGTGCGACCTTGGGCAATCCTTCCGAGCTTCAGTTTCCTTAATTGAAAATTGGAGAAACTGATTCCCAACTTTCCCAAACCTTCAGTAGAATAATTTCCAGGCGAGAATCAAATAACTCCTTGCAGAGAAAGTAAAATGTATTAATTGTGGGAAATTTAGAGGATGCAAATAAACACAAAGGAGAGACTCTAAGCCTGGCATATAGTAGGTGTTTTTGACAACTCCGGCTTGGTTCTCTGGCTGCCTTATGTCAGTATCTTCCTGGAAGAAAGCAGATTGAGCCAGGGGTGACTCCAGCCTCAGCCCAAGAAAATTCTAGCAAGAGTGAGAGTTAAAGGGAGGAAGCAGAAGGCGGATTCCCGTGGTCTTTTGTCAAGAGTTAGTGAAGTTAGAGCCTGTCAAAAACTTGCAGTGAGATCCTGGGAAGGTCACTTAACCTCCTGAGCCACAGTTTCTCACCTGTAAGATGGAGGGTGTCAGGCCAACCTGCCAGAATTGTTGAGAGGACCACATGAGATATGGATGTGGAAATGCCCACCTCCGCCAGCCGTTGGGAGTTAGTTTGATCTGAGTCTGGGAACTCCCTTTCTAAAATTCTATCAGATATAAAGTCACTCACAATTGTCTCTTGTCACTTTGGGGCTGTGTGAGGCCTGGCTTGTAGCCCAGCTTTGTTAGTGCTGTGCGAATTGAGTAAGCCTCTTCCTCTCTGGGACTTGGACTCCTCCGTTTGTGAAATGGCCAGATGAGGGGTCCACATCCAAATGCGCCCAGGAGCCGGAGGTAACAAGTGAGTGAAATGAGTGAGGAGTTGAGATAGTAGGGTGTGATGGGGGCTGGAGCAATCTGATGAGCCTGCCTTATCTAAGAGAGGCTGCCACTCCATCCTGTTCCTGGTTACAAAACAGGAATGTGAGCCCAGGTGGCAAGACTTTAAAGAGCTGGAAAGCTGCATTTTTTTGTTTTAAAATAAAGCGACGGCAAGCTATTTAGTTAGGGACCTGTAAGAACCAAACAAAATAAATGCAAAGTAGGGTTAAGAGAAGTTCATGTACCAGCTCTACCACTTAATAACTGTGTGTCCTTGAACAAATCATTTAGTCTCACTTTTCTTACCTGCAAAGTGGGGTAATTATTGCACGTATTTCATGAGAATGTTGTGAGTTGTGAGGGTTACCTGAGCAAAGAAAGGTGAGGTTAACAGAGTGAGGTTAATGAGGTGCATCTTGGGTGCAAAATTTAAGAGGGCACCAAAAAAACCCCACCCCTCAACAATCAAGGTAATTAACATTTTAATGTAATTTTTTTTTAAAGTCAAAAGTAATGCAAAAAACCCCCACGATGAACAAAATATCAACATTTTAAATAAAGACAGGATCTGACCTTGCATTTGCATGACTTGGTCTCACTAACCTTACCCTAATCCCAGCCAGCACTGTGGGATTCTGTCTCTGTTTTTAAAATGAGATGATACACAAGGAGAACCCCATCCCACCTCCAGGCCCAGTGGTTCAAGAGTAAGAGAGAGAAAGCATTTGACTTACTTCACTGCCATATCCCCAGCACCTACAATGGTGCCTCACACATGGGATGTTAATAAATATTTGTTGAATGGGAAAAAAAAAAGAGAGATGATACATGTCAAACCTTAGAACAGTGCCTGGCACCAAGTAGGTACTCAATAAAATAATTTCATAAATGATTATGATTGAGAAGATGTCACCATGGGTCCTATTCTGTCTTCAGGCCAGTGGTGAATTTAGCATATCTGACACCCAGAATGGATCATTTTTTTAACCTCAACATGACAGAATTATCTTCAATAATAATCATGAAATAAGACAAAATAAAAATAATTGCCAAAAAAGAAATAATAATTTTTTCTTTTATTGAATTTCATATATATTTCTTCACATATATATTCAGACTAATAAAATTTTTTTAAAGTAAAAGATTATAGTAGAAAAGG